TGTGCTCAATACAGCTCTCAGCTTCCTGTAATTAAACGAGTGTTTATGAAACTCTTCCCACACAAATCAATCATAGTTGTAAGGATCTTCAACTATCGACTCATCGTTCAGAATTTGGTCCAATGAATGTAAACTTTTTCCTCAATTTTCTGGTCAACTCATTTATATGTTTTTTTTAGGGCGAAATACCCGAAGTGAATCTGATTTTATGGGGTGCTTAACTAAGCTAGTTGCTTCCTCAGGCACACTTCTTTCTCAATTGTAACAATAGCTTGGAAATGAAATACAACATAGGTGATAAATTGGTTTCGACACAATCTTAATCTTTTCGATTAACCATAGGCCAAAGAATTGATTTTGAATCTGATAAACCAACGATTTCTGACTTTCAGTCAAAACCATACAGGAAACGTTCAGTTTGTTTCGTCTTACAGATCAAACAAAACCATTGAAACTCAATCAAACATTGCAACTGACTTCCTAAACGAAAATAAAAACAAAGAATTGAAGAGGTAATCGACGATCCTCGTCGATTCTTGCACGCACGTATTTTGTAGATCTCCTCGATTCCTTACCCCTTTCAATTTTCACCAGAGTTTTCCATAATATTTGACAGACAATCCTCGATTTGAAAAATCTTTTAACTCGCTCAAACCACCTTCAATAAATTTTTCTAAGATAACGTGTGCTGCACTCTCTATATCACTACTAAATCTCTTCGCTAACGCGTGAAAAAGCCTTAACTCAGCTGATTACCATTAAAATCACCAACAAATTTATTCCTTTGTGCCAAAGGACCATCAGCACCTTAAGATTTTCCGAAGATGACCCGAATTCTTCCGAATGTTTCACGCGACCCATCCGGTTTTTCAAAAGTCTAGCATTATAGCATTTCCGTGTGTTTTCAAAAATTAAACATTTGGCGCTCTATGTGAAAAATGGGAATAACTACGTTGTAAAGAATTAATGTGCATATATGTGAATTCAACAAATATTATATTTGGAAGTTTTAACTTTGAACTGTACCTTATAATAAAAGAACACTGCAAACGGTCAGTCTCACTGACTAAGGTTTCGGCAACTTTCTATCCTTGACCAAGCACTTATCATTAGCGCTGCAGGACGTGCGTTTTTTGCGAGAGGATTTGAGACGAGTCTGGGAGAGGTTTGCCGGGAGTCGGGCACTAATATCAATACCAGACCCCTTGCAGACCTCTCGCTGGCTGGCGTCGCTCAAGGTCTCATACTTATCCCGCGGGAGCCGGAGCGATAATGACGAAGACCTGCTCGCAAGTTGATGATTCTCGAGTGCGTATTTGTCGATAGCGACTGGAGCCAAGAAATAGAAAGATTTAAGGTGTTTAGCTAGTATAAGCTGCATATACCTAGGCTCTCACAAAACAGATAACGCTTATCGATTGAAGTGGGGATTCTGGCCTCTTTTGAGTCCTTTCCTGTCCTAAAACAAGGAGGTATACACGCACTACAAGCCTCTGGCCTCACTCTGAATTCTCTAACAGAAAACGAGGAAGGCTACGAAAGCAAGTATGGTCTATTTTACAGTTGTGTGCTTGGTTGCCAAGCCTTTGAACAGGAGTGAGGCTACAGTTGACCTTGTTATGATACAAACCTTGGTCCTTTTTAAATGCATTTACTTTGTCATTATGCTAACTAGGTACTGATCTCTATCGCGACAAGGTCACCTTCAGCCTCACTCCAAATCAAAGGCTTAGCAACCAAGCACACAAGTGTAAAATGGCCTATCAATCGTAATACAATAAATGTAATTGAACTAAATCATTTAGAGCTAATATTTTAATTCCCGTAATAAATAGAGACTTTTTAATTAATATTTTTAAGATAATCTTCAGCAAAAATTGCAATTGGGAAATGTTGCAAAACAGAGAGGGAAATCTCCAACGCACGAAAATCGTGCGTTCTAGGTCATCCATGCACTCGTGTCAGCTAATAAGAAGCTATAATTTCCTTCAGCACATGATTTTGTACAGAAGCCACGGATAATATAGCCAGGGAATTTTAAACACGCACAGACACCCCGTCTTACCTCCAAGCTTTCACATTTTAATCCCATAATTGGATATCTTTGGTGTAGTCTCAAGAGATATTCTCAATCAAAAAAAATTCCACCAACGGCGTGGGGCTTAGGCTGTTTCCTTAAGTAAGAGAGATTCAGTCCCTTATTGGCTGATAAATACCTCAGATGACAACTTTTGCAAGTAATTTCTCAAACGTCTCAACGCACAATATAGAAGTTTGCTTAAAATACCCTTTATACTGTTGATAATCCTCAGACATAATTTACGATAACAAAAAGGTCACATACCTTACCTATCTTGGCAGACTTGTGTCAAATTTTTTCGAAATCAACCAATAAATCTATCTATGCGTACGTGCTTGTCTGGATGGATCGAAGTCACAATCTTCTATGAAGAGATACAAAACGGTTTTTTTAACCCCTTCTCTCCCAAGATTGCTAATTCTCCCTTACAGCTGCTACACATTTCCTAGTTAATAAGTTACGGGAATTTGGTGTTAGATCAAGATAACGACTTTTACGTGATAAAATGAAGTATTCCCATCACCTGTTAGTTGTATAATCTATGGATAACATGGGGAAAAGTTACATTTTGATTACTTCGCGAGTTAAAGGGTTAATTTACGATGAATTAATATCAATTCAATGAGCTCAGAAACATATTTTGGTGGCAATAAATAACAAAAAATGAATGGCAAACTCTTTGGGAATTAAGCTAGTAAGTTTCTGAAGAAGCTGTGGTGCTGCGTCGGTGGGAGAGTATAACAGGGTAATTTAGTATTATCAACTGAGTTGAGAACGTAAATTGGCCACCGTAAAGAGTTTAAAAGCTGACGTTTCGATCGTCAACCCTTAGTCAATCGCTCTGACGAAAGGCTAACGCTCGCAAAGTCAGCTTTTAAACTCTTTGAGAATCACACAATCTATAAATAGAAACAAAAACGTGAAAAAGAACCCTTGATGTTTCTCCAGTTTTACAGATTTCCCCGACTAAACCCTTTTTATTTCTTTTGCTTAAAAAAAAATGCCAAGACCATTGATAGCGCAAGAGAAAGGCATCTTGGATAGATCCTAAGAAATACTGAAGACGGATCATGAACAAACCTTTTAGCCTGCCTCTGGCGATATCATTGTTACTTAAGGAGAACCACACAGTACTGTAATATATTATACAAACCTAGATCACGTGTCTTTCAATCCAGTAGTTCTGCATATCTTTTAAATACTGGCAGTTTTTTTTTTTTTTACACCAAAGAGCACAAAGACCGACTGAAAATCATGGTAGGGAAACATGGCTGTTAATCCTGGCTTTAACAGGAAACAATACCCGCCTCTTCAAAATAATTAATAAACTGATAATTCCGATAAAGGCTTATAAAAAAGGCTTATATTAAGTGTTTAATTGTTCCTGATAAGGACCCTTTTTGGCCCAACCCCACATGATAAGAACATGCGAAGAAAGTGCCTGACCTAAGACATAAAAAGATCAAGCGGCCCCATTTCAACTAGCCTAGTGTAGCCGTACCCTCCCCCCCCCAAAATAAAAAGGAAGCGAGGGGGGAGGGTAAGGCTACATGAAGGCTACATTTCAACCCTCGTTTTCTCAAGTCCGGTCTTCAATCGGTGGAGGAGCGTGGGCTCATTTCCCTAACAGCAACTGGTCAAACTTGCGCGCATGTGCAAACATTTCATGGCCGGGTATCGGCCGGGTAGCGTGTTTCAGCCTGTCAGACCCACGAAGTTTTACAGGACTGATAAAGAACCACACAAGCCAGTATTTCACGCCGTTTTAAAGCTATATTCAGACGTAATGGCAAATTAATCACAAGGTACTCGCAAATATGTAAACGTATATGTTCGAAAAGTCTCAAGTTTTCATTCCCCTTACGTTTGTTTCCCTTTGCAAATTTGCGCGGGAAATTGCCGCGGCAGGCCAAAATTCCTCTAACGCATGCCTGACGCACGACCGACGTGCTGGCTGGTTATCAAGCCAAAAGATGATGCATATTTTATCATTTTCAACGAGCTTAAAACATAAATAACAGCATTAACTTGTATGTGTACAACAGCTCTCACCTACGGTTTACAATGTCAATCTTCTTTCCTCCTTGCCATTCCCAATTGTAAAAGAGTAGTGAAGTGAATTCACTGTAAAAAACACAAACAACAACTTCAAGAAGAACACGCGTTATCGTTTTCGAAATATGACCTTTCCAGTCTGTATTTGAAACCCAAACCATCTTTGATCCGGCAAACTCTCCACCTCCCCAATGCCATTTTGCCAGCGTGACCCAGAGTGCAAATCGCATGACTTATCTGTCACGCAATTTAAGTAGGTTAAAATAACTCAGTTTAAATTGCGTCAGGGAATGGAGTAGTTTCGCCTCTGTTCTCTTGAAAGCTGGCAATCTAGAATGTTAAAATAAGTAAGGTTCATCCAACAGCAGGAAAGAAAATACAGAGGAACACGCCGGCACAGTCGAGCCAGCTTCTTTGATGTACGTTCCAATTTCTTCAAGATTCGGCACGTAACAAAACTGGAAAGAACCAAATCGACTTGTACCTAAGTCAGCTGTAACTGGAAAGAATTGATAGAGAAGTTCATCCCTTGCCTTTGATTCAAAACTTTTAATCTCGTACCAGATTTCAAGTTTCCACCGTGCGTTTTGCAATGTCATCTGTTATGTAAATTATATATGGAAATAATGCATGACAAAAACTAACCTTCCCATTTCGTCGATCCAGGTGAGGATGCCTCTTTTTAAGCAAATCAACTTAAAGATCAACCGCTTTTTCCGAAGCTCTCTGGAGCTTCCAGAGTTTTTATTTCTGGAGGTACATATGGTTTGCGTTACTTTCGATTCCGCCATCTTGATTGATTCGCAAGCTCCTCACGGTTCGATCGTTTCAAGAAGACTGGGAATAAACATAAACGAAAATGGCGTAAGACAGTTTCCTCTTTACTTTTACGTAGGAAAAATAATTATTTATAAAATTCAACTGGAAACTTATGACATAATTTACGGTAACTTAGTTCATTGGTTTTTGATTGATTGCTGCTTTGATCTGAAATTCATTGGGACGTGTTTCAGTCTCAAGTGAAGAGAAATGAGTAAAAATGGCGAAGGTCCTGAAGAAGGTGAATCTTCATCTTCCAATTCCAAGAGAAGCGGGTCACCAAGTAAACCTCCAAGACCTCCTCCTCCATTGAACTGCTCGAAATCGCAGCGTCCTTCAAGTATTGAAAAGCATCTAGAAACTCTGCAGCAGTTAAAGGCCGATCGAGTTCGCTGGTTTGTGAAAGAAGACAAGAAATGGATTCCTTTTAATGGCTCTGATTCGTTGGCTATTGAACGATGCTATCGTCATATCATGGCTTTTGAGAGCCGGGTTGAGGAAAGCACAAAGCTCCCCAATACTTCTCCGATATATGAAATGCCAGTTGTCAAAGGAGGCTTGTATGAGGTGGATGTTGATGCTAACGAATGTAAACCTATTTACTGGAAAGGTAGGTGAAGGTTGTGAAAACAATCGCTAAATCAGCCTCAACCAATAAATGAATAAAAAGAACGTGCTGTGTTGAGGTCTTGGTACAACACAATACAATGTATTTCATCATATCTGTCGTTCTTTTCACAATAATAAAACCAAAGCCAGGGAATTTAACGGCCTATAATCAAGAGAGAGAAGGAAAAAAAATGTTTGCATGGGAGAAAAACAAGAATTTGAAATAAATTGATCTTGAATTGAATTATGTATGTTGTTCATTGATACGAAACAAAACAACAAGAAATTAACTTAGAGCTGATAATGGTAACAAGCACAAAAAAATAATAAGTGAAGTTTGCAGAATGTCATTAATAGAGTTCTTTGCATGGATTATTTAAATTGCACAAGATATTTTTGGCGGTATAGAACAGGGATATTATTATATTGCTGGTGAGATGAAATGTGGTTGAATTACGATTTAATTTCATTGTTCAAATAGATGACAGTCTGCCAGTTTGTCGAGGAACTTGGTTTACCGGGACCTCTTCACTTGATACATGGCAGCCTCTTGGTAATGATGATAGTGAGCAGATTGAAAAGTCTCACCAGAGTATGCTTAGGGCTCTGGTGAGTCAGTCAGCAGCTTTTGCTATTGTTGTTGCTTTCATTGGAGGACAGGGAGCTGTATAATAACACTCTCTAAATTTCAAGGATTACCATGTGGTATCCTCAATACTGAGCTTTTTTTAAATTGTTGAGTGCAATAGAAATTTGGATTACCACTCTACTAATGTGAAAAGAAATAAAACCTGAACCAATTTGAATGGCAAACCATCTATTTAGGGTCAGTAAACCATAATTAATCTATTCAGCCACAAAAAATTAGGAATTTTTGCAGTTATTAGGGTGTCTCCAGGTAAAGGATGAGGAAACCATTTATTATTTTTGTCTTCAAGGGTCTCCGAGTAGGAATAAACGACAATGATAAAGCAGCTCCTGAAAGGCAAGGTGAGCTTACTCTTAAAAAAATATTGTATACAGCAATATTGTATATTGTAAAAAGTCCTTGAGGGAACAAAATACAGAGTTTTGCAAGAGCTTTGCTATGCACATGTTTTGAATAAAGTTATTGTGTTAAATATACATTTAAAACAAAATTAGTGTATACATTGATCATGCATAAACATATGCCTTTTGTCAGAGGCACTTAACTGGGGAAATGACTTTTAGAGCTTACTGGTTCAATCACAGCTCATTTTCATTTTGCTTCTCTGCCTTATTGTTTGACTAGATGTATGTTTGTTTGGTTTCTTTGAAACTACAGTACTCAGCCGACTCAACTTGACAAATTGTCACGTGGAATGGAATGAAATTGATGATGTGTGGTTGTATTGGGATGATGTCAAATCCAGAATAATTAGAAATGTTGGTGAAAGGATTGGATTCTCATCAGGTAAAGAAACAAAAAAAATTACCAAGAATGAAGTACAATCCTACTCGAGGGGAAGTGGCCATACTTGTTGTGATGCTATAAAAAGTACAAAGAACCCAGCTGGTCTGCTACATGTACATGTAGCCTGCTTATTTCGCCTCATTTGACCATGATTTCCAATGAAAAATTTTACAATTATTGAAGAAATTTGTGTAGCAGTCATTCACAGGTTTTTTAGTAAGGTGAAATCTTAATTTCATGCATAAGTAACCAGCTTAGATGCATGAATGGATTCTATGGCCAGGATTTGCTCAAAGATTCACATGAAAATCATGGAATAACTTGGGGATTTTAAATGAAAGATTCCTTGTCTTGTGTATAATCTGATGAAGCAAAATAGTGTCTATTATAAAGGCGGTCAGTTTCTAAAGAAACTGTAGTGCTGCAGCAGTGGGAGAGTACAACAGGTGATGTTCAAAGTATCATCAACTGGTTTGATAATGTAAATTAGCCACCATAATGAGTTGAAAAGCTGACGTTTCAAGCATTAGTCCTTTGTTAGTGTCCATGATAACCTGGCCGATTACTCTGTTATATATGCCAAGTGTAATTTTGAAGTGATTGATAGCCTTGCTTTTATAGAGTAATTTCATGCTCTGAATACGAGATTACATGTCATGTCCATACAACTGTACATGCACAAAGTAATGTGAAAGATGCAATGGATCTACAGCTGCCCCACTAAATAGGAGGTTCAACTTCTGGAAGGGTCAAAAGGAGGGTGGAGTGAGTAGGAGGGGGGAGGGGTGGGTAGGAGAAGGGTGGGGTGGGGTGGGGTCATTGTGGGAAAGACACCAAACTTTGACTGAAAACCTGTCATTACCAGATGTTCAAATAATTACCAACAAGTGTAACAAGGAAGCCTGAAAAAAAAAGCCAGAGAAGGGGGTAATCTAAAATGGATCAGCATCCTAAAGAGGGGGAGTTCTAAGCAATGGATGCTGAGTAAATGGATGTCTGCTTTGTTGCATCAGGTGCTGCAGCACAGATTCACCGTGGATACCACACAGTTGCTGACCCTGCTGACAAACCTCCTGACATATCTCATTTGATTTTTGTGGTTCATGGAATTGGACAATTAATGCACATGAGCAATATTGTCAAGAGCTGTGTTAGCCTTCAACAGTGTGCTGTAACAGTTTTAGAGAAACTTTTTACGGATAATCCACCTGATCAGCGAGTAGAGTTCATTCCAGTGGAATGGAGATCATCACTTAAACTAGATGAAGGTAAAAAAATTCACCTCCCCAGAGGTGATGTTGAGAGATGTGCTCTTCTAACAGTTAACATTAAAGTCCTTAGATCTGGTTTTCAATTCTCCCCTCTAGCTGCTACACATTTCTTGGTAAGTTAGTTGTAAGAATTTAGTGTTTAATCAAGTTACAACTTTAACCTGATAAGTTTGAGTATTCTAATTAGCCGTTTGCTGGACAATATGTGGATATTTTCTCTTTCCACCCAGTGAAATGAAATAGGGGCAGTGAAATGAAATGAAATGAAATGTGATGGGGGCAGGAAGGAGGTCGGTTTGGTCTGGCACACCAGTAAGTTCTTATTAGCTTAGTGGTAGAGCATTGGGCCACAGGAGCAAAGATGTGAGGTTCAAATGGTCATTTGGAACAGAGGTATTTCTTTGTCTCATGCTCTTGTGTAATTTCCACCTCCATCAAGGTACAATTGAGAGCATAACACCTGCTTCAATATCAGGACTCAGGAAGATTCTTAACACCAGCATGATGGACATCATGTATTACACGAGTCCATTTTACAGATATGAGGTAAGGGGCACCTTACCTGTTAGCCCTTTAATCGCCAAGGGTTAATAGAATCTAAATTAACTTTACAGTAATACCCCTAAATCACAATTTGAGGTCAAGAGGAAAAGGGAAATGGTTGCAAACTAAAGAAACTCTCAGTGGTCTTGACATCAAATTCTTCTTCCCAGCCCCTTAGGAAATGTGTAAAAAATTATATGGAGAATATGCATTCTGATGTCAGAGTGTAAAAGGTTAACTCTTAAGAGTGACTAGCAGGTAATTTCTCCAAATAGTTTCACTTTACAATCAAATGTAAAGGTTACAAGAAAAAAGGAAATGATTCCGTAGTCCCTCCCTCCACACAGGATCACCAATGAGTGCATGCAAGAATTGCATTTGTTTAATGGTTTGAAAAAATGTCAGTCAGCAATCAGTAGGTTTTTTTTCCAGAACACACTGTTTAACAGACTAGAACCTTGAGTAAGAAAATGTGAATGACGTGACTCCAATTTGAGTTTGCATTCTGTTTCAGATCATTGACAGTGTAAGAGATGAAATGAACCGTTTGTACACCAAATTCTGCTCCAGGAATCCTTCATTTGTGGAAAGAAACGGCAAAATTTCGATAGTAGCCCACTCGTTGGGGAGTGTGATTGCGTACGATATCTTAACACTTTGGGACATCGAATCAAGACATCTTTCTCCAGATGCCACAGAAAGCACTGGCTTTCTTACAGAAAGCCTGCAGTACCTGCGGTCAATAACCAGCATGACGAGTAATGAGAAGAAGGAGTCTGGGCCCGAGGGTAAGAGGAAAGAGAATTTACGAGTCGAACTCGCTAATGCTCGGAGCGAAGTGATGAGGCTTGAGGCTATGATGACAAGTGAGGTGGAACACGAGAAACAAGACGCTGAAAAAAGCTCAGGCGAATGCCCTTTAGCGCTACGGTTCAAGGTAAGTTACCAGGCCTAGTCTCGCACCGAGACCTTTCACGGCCAAGCGGTTCAGTCACACGATGGGATCTGGGCACACGATTAGACGTGGGCGTGAAGAATTTCAGGGGATCATATGGTTTTTAGGTAGAAAAGAGGGTGGATCAGTAGTCGTCAACAGAGTATAAAGGGATAAAAACGAAAATTGACTGCGAATTAGTTGCCAATTAGGGGGAATCACATTATTGATACAAAACCTGATAGAGGGATCAGATAAATTTTTTTGTGACGCAAAGCTGAATTTAAGCAAGTTTCCCACCCAGTTTGCGTTATTTTAGGTTGAAAACTTATTCTGTGTGGGATCGCCGCTGGCAGTGTTCTTGACGCTACGAGGGCTCAGACCGCAAGACGACGTAGAAGATCACGTGCTACCAAAGTCAGTTTGCAAACGTGTACTGAATATTTATCATCCAGCTGACCCTGTGGTGAGAAATTACATTATATAAAGATATATTTGAAGTTGTTATAACTTGAAGTCAGTGGTTGAAACCGTATTGTGTGACAATTTGATTGAAAGCCATGAATACTTTCATGTGGTACTGTTTATTGTGCTGCACAAGGTGGGTCTAACTTTTAACGCTAGAGATGAGACCGTAACGTTTGACCATTCGAATGAAAGCTACAGAGCAGTACTTTCATAAGGTGTTGATTACTATGATTTACCGGTTGGTTCCAACTTTTACTGCTTTTATAGATTTTTAATCTGGGACCGTCCTCAAGCTTCCTCGATATATTTTCATGCAGCTAGTGTCTGATATTTTCTTTCCTTTGTTGTTGTTGTTTTTTTTTCAATCGTTGTGAATTTATTCACTGGAAAGTAGAACCCAATCAAATTTGCGAAGCTCCCAAGCGGCGGCTTCGTGGCTCATTTGGGTGGTAGGGTTCGAATCTAGTCAAAGTCTGATTTTTTTCCAGGTTTTTCTTCTGCAAATAGCTTGTCTTGCCTTTCTTTGCTTTTCTAATTACTAATTACCATAAGAATCAATTTTTTTATGTATAAACAGGCTTACCGCTTAGAGCCTCTGTTAAGTTCAGACTACAGCAGCATTCCTCCGATACAACTACACCGCTACGACAGCAAACAAACAGGCTACACTGAAACCAAACCAGCTGGCAAGTCTGCCAAGTGGGGAGCCCTTTTAGCGGTATATCGAGCTGGTTTTTCCAAACAGAAAACAGACGATGAAGCCAGTGATCGATCAAATAGCCCAAACAGTGAAGCTGAAAGTACAGATGAAGAAATTGTGGTTGTGCACAATTCTGCATCTGGGGGGAGCGTTGAAGGTAGGAACTGGTGAAGAAGAATTTAGGTTCCAAAGGGTTTCGTTTTAAATGGAATGAAGGTGTGTTTTTTCTGCAAAACCTAATAAAGTTGCTCAGCGCGCTGCATGAGGTTTACATGTCGAGAATTCTTCTTAACGTTATTGGGAGCTTTTGTGAGTGCCTTAGCAACGAGTACCTCAGCTCTAACCAATTCTGTTTGACTAATTTACAAGCTGAATAAATTGCCTTTTAGCGTCTTGGTGTTTCCTTTTAAACACATCTTTCCTCATAATTTCACCCTGCATTAGCGAACGGTGTAAACGACGAAGGAGCTACATGCAGTATCACCGACGGTGGCTCATCGGCTTCTTCCAAGCGGACGGGTTGGATAGCGAGTATCTTTGGTTCTTCTAAACCCCTCACGGCAGGTAACTCCGGCCAGGAGTTGGAAGAAACGTCAGAAACAGATGGGGGTGTCAAAAAGAAATCTGAAAAAACGAAAAAAGAAGAACACCTCTCAGTGCCTTCGAAAGGTAAGTAATAAATAAAA